CAAAATGCTTATCTCACAGAAAACCTTGTACTACACTACAATACAAAGGCTTTTAAGCTGGAAAAACTTTGGATCTGCAAGAAATTGATGGCTTCTCATGCTGTACTTTAGCAACCCCAAAACTTTCATGCAAATATGGCGTTTGATATATGAAGCTGTTTTTCTTGCATCAACTGTGTGAGTTTGAGGGATTGATACTAGAATGATGACAAAGTCACTGAATTCAATTTTGCGTCTAGAACTTATCTAGGCATATACTCTGATCCCAAGTCATATGTGCTTTTGATGATCAAAGTTGCTTAGGGGAAGTGCTACGAACAACTGAAGCAAAGCGGACTTATATCCGTCTCAGCATTTAGGGAATGCTTGAACCAATGCCTTTTGCTATTGGCAACCTTATTATAGATTTTGAACAGAATTCAAATTAACCGGTTATTGGAAAAGCTCTCGCATAATCCAATCAATCAGGTAACTTTTTTCTCAACCCTAATGTGATGCTCTATTCGAAAATAAAACAGAGTTCGCTTCGACGTTTTGGGTATTGAAAAGTGTTTTCGGTGACAAAATGACGTATCGAGAAGATTTTCTCTATAAAATGACTTGTTTAATTTTGGTAAATCGCGATTTTTTTATATTTCTATACGAGAGCAAGAAGTGACTAATGTATAGACTATAGCTAGTAAGAAGAAGTTTTTCACAGAATTTTCTGACTTGCTAGCGGCACTTCAGTACTTCTTGCTACCAAACTCAAAATCGCGAATTTTGAATTGCCGTCTTTGTGTCTGTCTGTCTGTCTGTCTCAACTGTCTACGAAAAAATTTTTTCTATGATTTTCAAAGCATTTCATGCTTTGAAAATCATAGAAAACATGAATTGCCGTCTTTGTGTCTGTCTGTCTGTCTGTCTCAACTGTCTACGAAAAATTTTTTTCTATGATTTTCAAAGCATTTCAAGGCTGTTTGGAAAAGATAGTTTTTTGGCCCTCCTAAAGAAGATAAAACTTTCTCCGTTCGTTTAGTATCTTAAAATGGGCTAGGGAACATATTCTCAAAAAATCGCAATCAAAAATACGCAAGAAGGTCAAAAATGGGCTTAGTCCCAGCACATCTGGCTGCTGGGAGTAAAATGGGCTTATCAGAAAGGTGAGAGAGAATGAACATGGAGGTGAACTCCATTTTGCCCCATTCTAAAATGGACTTTTGACGTCATCTTCCGCGAGCGATAGCTCAAGTAAGCTTGAATCATTTTCATTTCACCGCTTTGCCTCGCGGTTGCGATGGGATGAAAAATTTTGGATATCGTAAGCGGGAGCCGATTTCGACCACTTTCTAACGCGAACGAATAAAATGGACTAAGTAAGTCCATTTTCCTCCATTATGGACTTCGTGGATATGAGTCCAGGAATGATATCCACGAAAGTCCATAATGGAGGAAAATGGGCTTCCAAACCCCATTTTATTCGTTCGCGGTAGAAACTGGTCGGAATCTACTTTCGCTAGCGTTATCCAAAAACTTTTATCTCATCGCAACCGCGAGGCAAAGCGGTGTGATAAAAATGATTCAACCCTACTTGAGCTCTCGCTTGCGAAAGAATCAAAAGTCCGTTTAGAATGGGGCAAAATGGGATTTACCTCCATTTTAAATGAACTTGGAAGCCCATTTTACTCCCAGCAGCAAGGTGAACTGGGATTAAGCCCATTTTTGACCTTTTTGCACATTTTTGATGGCGATTCTTTGAGAATGTGTTCTTTAGCCCACTCTAAGGTAACAAGTGAGTGGAAAAAGTTTCCTGTCTTTCATGATGTCTGAAATAAGTGTTTCTTTCTAAACTCATACAAACGCTATAAAAATCATGGAAGACGGTTAAATTCACCAAAATATTCGTTAACAAACTCAAATGCTTCCAAATATCAGGTCGATGCGAATATTCCTATGTAAATCGAATAAAGTTTGTTAAATCTTCAAATATCAGCCGAAACTAAATTCATGATTTGTATTTGAGAATAAGAAAGATTTGCGTTTTATCACAATTACTCAGAAGCTATCTTTTGACTATTCTCGTAGAACCGAACCTCAAAGACGGCATTTCAAGCGCGATTTTGAGATTGGTTTCAAGAATTACTGGAAGGCTGCGTTCATACTGATTCCCATGTTCTGGAACTGTTCCCGCACAGTTCTCGCACTGTGCTGAAACTGTGCGGGAACTGTGCGGGAACAGCTCCAGAACTGTGCTGCATGCGCTGCAGCCGCCCCGCACCGTTTTGAACGGCGGGAGTTAGAGAATTTTGACCGTTCTCAACGGTTTTTCTTCCAGATTTCGCTCATTTTGTCCTTAATCCTCCACCCCGCTTCCCTTTTTGATCAGCAGAACTGCGAACTCGAAGCGGGGTTGAAGAATGAGCGCTTTTCTGCTCCATGTATCCGGGAATATGGGCCTTCGTGCGCTCGTCCATTCTCTCATCGCTATTTTTATTAGACCTACTTCATGTGTTCTAGAGACTTGTCTATTTCAATTTCAATACAGATGCGAGACTACGCAGCGACTTGTTAGTACACATGAAGTAGGTCTGAACAAAAATAGCGATGAGAGAATGGACGAGCGCACGAAGGCCCATATTCCCGGATACATGGAGCAGAACAGCGTTCAATCGTCAACCCCGCTTCAAATTCACAGCTTTTCTCATCACTAGGAGAAGCGGGGTAGAAGAAAGAACGGAGAAGCAACGACATGGAAAAACCAACAAGGCTAAGAACGCCCAAAATCATGAAAAACAAGAGACAGGTCCCAACTCATGCAGTTTCAGGATTTCTCCTACTCCCTAATTCGTGGCAGATGGCTATGGAAATTGGGCAGCCGCTTCCTGGAACAAATGAAGTAGTTTTGAGCAAAAAACAAGAAGACAATGAACAATCGCACAATAGTCCATCTTTCCGAATACACGGCGCAGAAAAGCGCTCATTCTTCAACCCCGTTTCGAGTTCGCAGTTCTGCTGATCAAAAAGGGAAGCGGGGTGGAGGATTAAGGCCAAAATGAGCGAAATCTGGAAGAAAAACCGTTGAGAACGGTCAAAATTCTCCAACTCCCGCCGTTCAAAACGGTGCGGGGCGGCTGCAGCGCATGCAGCACAGTTCTAGAACTGTTCCCGCACAGTTCCCGCACAGTTTCAGCACAGTGTGAGAACTGTGCGGGAACAGTTCCAGAACATGGGAATCAGTATGAACGCAGCCAAATGCCGCTAGCTAGCAAGAAATTGTGAAAAATTTTCTACTAACAATAGTCCGTACATTCAACTACTTAGGGATATAAACATTAATGCTGAACGACAAAGAAGAGTTAAAGTAGAACATTTGCGAAGTCATCCTCCTTGGCGACTCGTAGTTTTCCGATTTAAAGAATTCTTTGCGTTGTAGGGCAAGATTTCCTACGAGATAAGCATTTTGCTTCACAGATTGCAGTGCAAGTCTAGCCAAAGTTTGCTTTCCCCAGAAAGTTTTACATACGAATTTGACTTAAAGCAGTTCCATAGAAGTCTTGAGAAGCGAAGGCCCGGATATTTTGTGAATTCTATTCTTACAGATGTTTTCGATTCATAGTTATCGATAACATGATTTTTTGATGTATAATGAAGTGTGAAAGCATAGAACATTCATGTGACTGTCATCGTAATGTTAGGTCAGCCCTAGTTAGATACCGACCACTTGGTAAAAATGAGTTTGCAAGAGTGAGTAAACAAGTTGAGGCAAGTTGGAGAAAGGTTTGCTGAAGAAGTTTTTATGGAATGAATAGATTCGCGAATACGATATCTTATCGCACCGCATGGACTAAGTCCATTTTATTTGCACGAAAAGCCCATTTCGCGGGGACTTTCGTGGATATCATTCCAGAACACCTAGGTTACTGGCTGTCTTGGATTTTATGGCACAGTTTTGGTTTTTTTAACAGGCGTGCTTAAAAATTCTGAACGTGATTTCTTTTCCCAATTTTATCTCTGCATTCAGAGCTTATTAGATAGCAGCCAAGGTAGTTTTGAAAAGCGCATGAATTGCTCTTTTCAACAAGGTTTTAGCCATGCAAAAATATCATGTGAGGAGGAAGTTATGATTTTTTGAAAATGGTGGGACAGAACAACTTTCGGACCAACCTAATATTTTTGAAGCTAGATTCACGTTTGCTACAACCTTTTCTATTAGTAGTTTACTAGCTGTAATGGATCCTTGTAAGATCCAAAAACTTGATAAACTTCAAAGATTCTCATTCAAATTTTTGTGCTTGATTAACTATTATATTGGGGAATATAAGTCTTTTGCACTATTTATTTCAAATCTTAAAAATTTAAAATTTTAAAAGAGCTCATGCTTGCGGCATGTGGGCAGGGTAGGAAGGTCTACCCATCGGTACCGTCGCATCCGCGTTTCGTACGCAAAACGCTCATTTTGTGAATAAAGGTCGTTTTACTCCCATTTTTGTAAGCTGTTTGGCATTCTTCCAGGTGATAAGGAGAGACCGGGCAAAGTAATAATTGGATAGCGCGTAGTCTTTAGGGCTCAGCATCTAGGAGGGGGGGGGGGGGCGGGAGGGGAGGGGTTGACACAGACATACTGTCTACATACTTTTGTCCGAGCCGTTAAAAGTGAATGAGCGCCACCTTTACAATCATAGACATTCAAAAACATCTCCGAAAAATCAAAAAAAAAATTCAAGCTCTCTGTAACGATTTTTGTACAATGCACATAAGAACAATTTTAGAAAGCTTCCAAATTTTTTAGATATTTTTTGACCCTGTCTTTGAAACTATAGAGGTACCGGAGTGCCTCCATATAAGAGACAGTGAAAAAATAGCTGATTAAAATTTGCTGCGGTCTAAGTGCGTCACATTTTGGAGTTTTAGGGAAGCTTCTGGAATTTTCCAGAGAAAATAGTAGGGGAACAAACAGAAACGTAACAGAAATTATCCTGCAACCATCTTTGAAATTTTGATATGGAAATTTCCTAAATCACCTGAATTTGATAGGTGGTCATTGGTGAGAATCGTTGATATGTGATGTTTGTCATACAGTTAGTGGAATCCTCCGCTCCATAAATCACAGAACCAGCATCCTCCCCATTTTGTGAATGCTGCTTCAAGTGTATCGTGAACATGTTCGAGTCCAGCACTTCTTCAAATAATATGTAAAAAAATTATGCAAAAATACATAGTGAGACATAACGACTTCGTTATGTCGAAAATTGGAAGTCGTTGTCAGGAAAGTTGTACCCAGATTCTCCTCTGTCTCAATGTCAATGTCGCGTCGCGGCTCGTGCGGCTCGGGGTTCATGCGTCGCCTATGTATCTTGGATCCTGCGTCGCTTTTGCGAATGTATCCTCTGAGTACTTCCCATACCTTCAATCGTCCTTCAGGTCCAAACAGCGATTAGAGGAAATCCGAGCCGCACGAGTCCACATACAGTATCCACAGGCAATTTAGCCCTAGGCTATGGCCACTTAGCAATAACTTACTGCCATTGATAAGCTGCATGATGAAAGGTATTCCCGTTCCTGAGTCAGCTTTATAAGCAAGACCTAGTACTCCATCTGCTCCAGGCTGTACAAAAAGGGTTGCAAAGAAAGCTTCGAAAACTTTGCGACAGAATCTACCAAATCGACTTCTGCAGATACGTTTGTAGCCATTCCGAAAGTCCCGTTTGACATAGCTAACTTGCCATTGCTATCCTGTAACCAATCAACAATGAAAATAACACCTACATAAATCCTTGTCAGTTTGGTCCTACATAACCTTAAAACCTTCTAGATAAGTCCACTTTTTAACCCGTAAGGTCCATCAAACAAGTCCGCCCTAGTTCGAGTCTTTTTTCTTTTCATTATAGCTAACCCGAAATTTTGTCAGATAAGTCTGGACTTCTCTGCAGACGGACTTGTGTGATGGGAGACCCTATCTGTGAGATTTTAGGGTAAGAGCAAATTGTAGCATGAATTTGCCAACTTACCACAGCAAAGTATGCGAGAAGATTGTAAAATTCAGGAGTATCATGATGGTACAAAATGTGGGGTTTTTTGTTATCAATAAAAGTTGTAACCTTGATAGTATCCATCCCTAGTACACCATTAATTGCTCCACCATAACCCTTCAAGGTCCATTCTCTGCCGTCTGGCACAAATGTTTTTGACGCTGATGAGTTGAACTTGTTTTTATTCTCGCAAGAGCCCCTAGAATCAAATAGAATTGTCACTGCTTGGAACTTATAGCCGAATCATTTTTCAGAAGTCTGGTACATATACTCACTTGCAATTAACATTCGGAATCCACAGAAGAGAACTGCGTAAGGAAACCATTACGTTGAACGTCTTCCTATGACTTCCCAGAGTGATTTTGTGCAGATATCCCTTTGGACCAGTTACGAGCTAACAAAAAGATTTATTCTTAGGCAGCTAAAGGTATACAAATTCATAAATCTATCGACAGCTATGTTTGGTATTTTAATACAAACTACTATTCAAAAGAGTTCTCAAAGGCAATAATTCCATGGGCAAAAATTAGGTAGTGGAATACAAGGAACTCACTGGTAGAGAGATACCCTCTGCATCACTGCGAAGCTTACGATAAGCGGTCTGTAACTTTTATCATATCAGTTCGGGCGACCATCATATAGAAATTGATTTTCTAATCTCATCTTCGTTGGATTAGACAGAAATAACTGACCTGTTTAGGATCTTGCCAAGCTGGATCTAGCTGCACCACCTGATTTGTAGCAAATAGAAGTAAAGTGAAAAGTGCGTAGTTACCCATTGATACCTATAGCTCCCAAGCTATCAATGTTGCTTAGCAGACCTTCATTTTAAGGCGATTTCTACTATAGATAGTGACTGACTAGGGAAGGATTTCAAGTCGCAGGGCGTACTTGAATAAAGTGCATATTTCAAGCAAACTTCCAAATCCTATGCCTTTCTCTAGAGGAAGCTATGAGCATTTGATAGACCAAATATGGAAACATTCAAAGCCACGTCTTCAAAAAGTAATTGTTCAAAAGCACATATTTCTGCCACTAGTAAATATGCCTACTCCTTGAAGTCAGTACAATAAATACCATACCAATTATTATTGTACCAGTTACTCATTCTCAAACTGGATTTTAGTCAGGGATTGCAATGCACATCATGCATTAAAGGCAGTGTCCCGGCAGATTTTGCACTTCCACCTTTCTACAGTTTTAGGCCTTTTTGCCACGTAGATCCCGAATCTAAGCTTTGAAAGGGCTGAAAAGGGCGATTTTGGCGAGTTTGCCCAGTTCCAAAAAAGCAGCTCGGACGAGATTTTTTATGCAATGTTCGGAGGTCCTCACGCGAAGACCCTGCCGCCTGTAATTTTTGCTTTCCACAGCATCCACAATGGGGAGAGGGGTCGTGGGGCCGAACAGACAAGGAAGCGGTCCGAGTGCGCGCCGATTGAGGTTGCGCGCGCCGGTTTAAAGGCCATTTTCTCGGCCCTGGGGAACATCAACTAGCCGGACTGCGCCTGCAGGTCAGTGGGGTGACTAGGAACCCCATCACACCTATATCGCGCAGAGCGCGAATCTGCCGGGACACTGCCTTTAGAACCTCGAAGACTACACATTTACCCGCTCATAACTTTCTCTAAAAAATCGCTTAGGAGATATGTATATATATATATATATATATATACAATACCACCCGTAATTTGCGAAAAAAAATGGCGGCGGCACTTAACTTACGCGGCGCCGCCGAAGTTAGGTGACTTTTGCCGCGTCGCGCGACAAAAGTCGGCGGAAAAGCGGCAAAAGTCACCTAACTTTGTCGCGCAACGCCTAACTTTTTATAAAAAAAGACCTTATCTTGATTCAAAATTTATGAATTCTATATATAAGAGTACCATTCAACTCAGCTCGGCGAGGCGCATCTTCCAATATACGGATGTGCCTAGTTGTGGGATATGAGTTTCTTTCCTGGAATTTTAGTGTAAATGGACCATTCAGTGTGCTTATTCCAGAGGCTACGTACACATTCTATTGAGCACAGCAGAAATAGGGCAGGTATAGTTTAAGAGCTCATTCTGTATGGATATATGTGAAACTGGGCAGCTCATTCTGCATGGATATGTGTGAAAGTGGGCTTCTCTCGGCGAAGTATGACGGGTCCCAAAATGCAGGAAGAAAAAGGGAAATGGTTGGAAATCGCATGAGAAGCACATATCGCGGAATGCCGCGCGTGCTGTGCAATGTACAATACCACTCACAGAACGGGAATTGCGCGAAATTCCAGAAATTTCGCGATTCCGGATTATCGTAAATTATGCAGCGCCATAACTTCCTTCGGAATTAATATATTCTAAATTCGAAAGCAGCACTGTGTTCATCTCGTCAAGGCGAATCTTTCTACATACGTCATGTCATCTATATCTTGTTTTCAGTTTTCTCAAATTGTTCTGAGGAGGTCCCTTTGCAAGTATGTAACGCAGCGCCTATCCAATTTGAAAGCTTCCAGTATGCACCATTCGATAGTGCTCTTCTTGTGCATTATAGTGCGCTAGTAAGCTGCCGCAGGCTTCTTTTCAAAAGAGAAAAAAGCGTTGGTAAATTCTGGAAAAATCACTCGTTTCCAGATTCTACTCGCCGTAACTTTCTTTGGAGTGGATATTTTCTAAATCCGAAAAATGCATTGTGCTCAGCTCATCAAGGCAAATCTTTCGGTATGCGGAATGTCCTTGATATCTCGATTTCAGTATTCTCAAAACTTTCTGCGGACGTTTCTTCGCAAAGGTGTGAAGCAGCGCGTATTGCCCCCAGTACATTCAGAAAGAAATTTTCGATAGTACTTCTTTTGTAGATTATGGAGCGCTGGAAAGTAGCCGCGTACTCCTTTTCAAAGGAGTTAGAAGGGCTGGTGAATTCTGGAAAAATCATGTCGTTCTAAATTTTTCTCAAAGTAACTCTAAAATATGAAGCTCTCTTGCTAAGCAGATGTGATTTTCGTAACCAGCAGGTCGGATAACCCTTATGAGCATGTTTTCCAAGATGTTCAAGTAATTTCATTTTTTCTCGTTTTACGCTCTGAAGCTGGCCGATGGATTTTGGTCAAAATGTTCATGCTCTTAAATTGTAAGGAAACTTCGCTTATAGAGGTTTTCGAACACGCTCTTTACGAAAATCGTGGTCCTTGAGGATTACAGGGTCTTTTTGGTGAGATACGGTGAGGTGACTGTAACTGCATCACGAAAGTGCGTAAATTGGCCCGCACTTCTCGCGTATCTGTCAGCAACCTTGCCTGCTTGCTTTTCTCAGTCAAAGTTACTAGGAACTGCGCTACCGAATGGTGCATGAATCAGGCTCCAGTCTGTAAAAATCACCGAGTTACGAGCCTATGAAAACACGTCCTCATGGATTTTGCCCAAAATCTAAAGATGCAAATCTCGTCGAAGTTCCTCCGCGAGCGCTTGTGTTAGGTCATTCGGAAAGTTTTTTCGTTTTTGCACCTCGAAAATTCGGTGACTGGTAAAGGAAGGTCTAAAGAGTTTGAAAAATGAACAGGAACCTCGGTGCGCAGTCAACCCCTTCTGTGAGAGCCACTTTTCTTACATGTGGTTTGGCGGAGTCATGAGCGTGGATGGCATCTCTCATAGCTTATACGTGCAAGTCTGCTCAGTTTTGAAGTACTCTGCGTTGATACCACTGCT